TTGATGTTTTCTTTTTTATGATTAATCATTTTTATGACATATCCATTCATGATGCAGGCGATTACGACTCTTTACAGTTTCAATTTCGCTATTAACTCTGAATTGTAGACTATTTACAATATTCGGACTATTGTCCTCATCTTTGTCGCCATATTTATTACAACGTTTCGGCCGTTGTACGCTCCGGCCTTCTTCAGGTGGTTGGAATGTCTAACTGAACCCTTTATTTCGCTCACTGGGGTAGATGTTCTAGTTCTACGTGCCATGTTTAATGGATGTCAGTTATCAGTTATCTCCTGTTAATTCCCCTCTCCAGGTTCTCCACTGCCTTAACCGGGTATTGAACTCACACTTTTTGGGACCTGGCACAGTGGATAAAGGCGTTAGTTAGATCTAGTGACAGGACCCATTAAACATGGCTTTGAGCGCGTGCACCCGGGCCATCTCCAAAAATAGCCCAGCCCATACAACCGTATTACCATCGATCCCCGCTCTTTAGTGCAATGAAGAGGCACTGCCTCAGGTAGCTGTTCTCCGGGACCGGACACCTCTAAATATTTTCTCAGTTGCTCTCTGCCCACAGACAAACACAACTGAGTTGCTCCCGGCCTGAAGACAGAGACACAACTGAGAGACAAAATGCAGTTTATCCGCCCGAGGACAGATACTACACTTTCATTACAGAGGTGTACAGAGTGTGTACAGAGGTGTGTTTAAGGAAAGGATACACAGAAGGACAAGGAACAAGATTAAGGTATCAGAAGATGTCGATTGACATTACACTTGAATATTTGAAGATTATAGTTATCAGAGAAGCAAGTAAGAGGAAGGGAGTTCCACTGACGGGAAGTGCAAGAGAAGAAGCTGTTGGAGTAGAAGAGACGGTTACATTTAACCGTTTTAACAGTGAAAAGGTGGGACCGAGATGCCAGCCTGGTAGCTCGGTTAAATTCATAGAGTCTGGGAACCAGCGAAAGTAGCTCGTCGGAACAGTTGCCGTAAAAATACGTTTACAAGAGACAGAGGGAAGCCACGGCCTTGTCCTTACCCCTTAGCCGTTCTTCGTTATATTTTATATTTGTTCGATGTTTAAGAATACAAAGATTTACCTTAAAACGAAAGGGAAGTAAAGACAAACCAGTCCGTCAATAGCGCTAAGTGGGGAGACAGTGGAAGAGGACTAACTAACATCCGGGATTATCAGATGTAAAGAGAAGTCAGCAATGGCGTCTGAAACACCAGGGAAAATGGGCAGTGTAATTCACATCAATGATGAAATGCTGTAATTCGATTATTAATCATTTTGCGCCGCTTAAACTCCATTAACCTAATCTAGCTAATCTCTGTTTATTAATATCGCCCTCTTTTCTCCACTGCCTCTGACCTAAGGTCTTTCGATCGAGCCAAGGGTGAAGTGGAAAGGGGAGATAATCCGGTGTCGTCGTAACAGTTTATTTGGTGTTCGCCGCAATCATACTCCTCGCGTTGTCTTTCCATTAGGACGACAGCGCAGGGAAAAAATGTTATTTTCTGAAAGGTTTTCAGGTGTGGTGTTATTTCGTATAAGCATTCGGTGATCGAATAATACATCTGCTAAAATATTGTGTGAATAAAAACAAAGGTGAAAATAAAATAAAATTATATATATATATATATGTGTGTGTGTGTGTGTGTGTGTATATATATATATATATATATATATCCTCTATTAGTAAAATGGTGTATTGTCACGGCATTAGTAAAGTGAACTTTTCAAATATCTAATTATAAATATATATATTTTTTAATCGTTAATAATAGGCAGGGAGGGGAAGAGGAGGACAGTAGATATCGATTTACATTGCATTTAAATGTTTGAAGGTTAAAGTTGAATGGAAATCATGGAGCCGGAAGGGAGTTCCACAAGCAAGGCAGTAAAGCCACTAAGACACAAGGGGTTACTGGGCGTGGAAGAATTAGGAACAGAAATATTAATAATATATCTTTCGAGTAATCAGGAGGACAGTAGATAGCGATTGACATTGCATTTAAATTTTTGAAGATTAAAGTTAACTGGAAAGCATGGAGCTGGAAGGGAGTTCCACAGGCGAAAAGTGCGAGAAAAGAAATAGAAGTTACGGCTACGTCTAACTAGTTCAACTATAAACTGATAAGATCTCAACGCCAGTTTAGTACAGCGCTTAAATTTAAAAAAAACAAAACAAAACAAAAAAAACTCTAGATACCATAGCGAAGAGCTCATCTAAACAATTACCATGAAAGTATTGATAGAAAAGACATAGAAAGGCAACCTTACGACGATGGGAAAGTGACTCAAGCCGAGATGCCAGATCAGGACCAATAATATTGCTGATTCTTCTTTTAATCTTATCAAAGAGCTCTAGGTAAATAGCAGAGACACCGGACCCTAAGCAGCAGCAATATTCTAAGCATGGATGAAGAATAGATATGTAAGATAGATTCTGGAGAGAAAAATTGTCTCGCACGACACAATGAACCAAATTTCTTAGCAGCTGACCTAGCAATGGATTCAATATAGTCTTTCCACTTCATGTTAGCTGGGAAAATTAACCCGAGAACGCGTCATTTTCCTGGAAGATACCATCAGTCATGCTGAGAAATAACAGAACGGCGTCTCTCAGAGAGAGAGAGAGAGATGTTTAGTTTTAGAGGCGTTAAAATTAACAAGCCATCTTTTGCCCCAGTTAACAACGGTCTTGAGGTCGTTTATATATCAGTTGCTTCTTTATTTTTGGTTATATATTGTATTGGGTGTTCTTTCTGGTTTTTATAGCATAGATACAAATAAATAAAAATGAAAAAATGTTTTATTTTCGATTTAAACGGCCATTATTAAGAAATGAATTTATAAGTTTCGAAAGTTCAAATATAAAAAAAAAAATAAGTTTCATTTTATTTTCAGTAAACAATTAAAACTTCTAATTCACACAAATATTTTTATTCGAACCAGAAACTCCTATTAGTTACTTGAGAGAGGTATTTGTTGTGTCGAGAAAAGTTCTCCCAAGTATGTAGTGTAGCCAAGGATAGATAACTCCACTCCCGAGTGTAGAAATCTTCCTACTTATATACCATCTAATTTGCATATCACCACAGTATTCAGAAATCTGCGGTCAGCATTGGGAAAAAGGACAAAGGTAGGAATTTGAGGCTTGCGTGTTCTTGTTGTTGAATCATTGTGTATCTGTTCGGGAATTTCGAACTGAACCCTTTATTTCGTCCACCAGGGCAGATTGTTCTAGTTCTACGTGCCATGCTTCTTCCTGATGTCTCAGTTATCTCCCTTTAACTCAACTCTCCAAATTTTTGTTTACCACTGCAGTAGCCAGGTATTGAACTCACAACTCTTTGGGTCAAGTCACTGGATTCAAATAGGCCATGTGCCCTTGAGGACATCAGTGTATAAATTTTGGGGACTTAATGTCCTAGTAACCTTTTTTTACCAGTTCTCATATTGCAATTTTGTTGTTATTATTACTATTCTCTAGCATTTCGTATTACTGGTTCCCATATTGCATACATTTCTATGCTTAGCCGGCCAAGCACATAAGTCTCAAAAATTCAGACACTAATGTACTCAAAGACACATGGACCAGTGAATAAAAAGCGTTGGATCCAGTGACTTTATCCAAAATGTTGTGAGTTCAATACCTGGCTACGGCAGTGTTGAACAAAACCTTGGAGAGTTGAGTTAAAGGGAGATAACTGAGACATCCGGAAGAGGTATGGCACGTGGAACTAGAACAATCTACCCCGGTGGACGAAATAAAGGGTTCAGTTCGAAACTCCGATCACCTGAAGAAGGCCGGAACATCACAATAAAGATGAGTACAATGTAAATAGTGTAAATAGAGGACGGAGAATGCGACACCGAGATCCGAAGGCAGATTGGGGTTGAGAAAAATGCCTTTCTAAAGCTAAACAAAGTATTAGCAAACAGGAAAAATGCCTTAGAAACAAAGAAAAGAGTACTGAGCAGTTATGTAATATCGGTCTTCCTACATGTCAGTGAATGCTGGCAAAACTTCTCACAGATCAAGAAGGGATTTGAAGCAAGATAATTGTGGTTCTACAGAAGGATGCTGAGAATACCATCGACTGAATCAGTGGAAACAGATAATCCTTTATACTTAACATTAGAAAGAGACAGTTGAAATTTTGGGGGTTTAATGAGGAAAGAGAGCTTGGAGAATTTGACACTCAGAGGACATATTAAAGACAAGAGGGACAGAGGAAAACATCGAGTAACATGCCAAACAACTTGTACAGATGACATGAAGGATGGATGGTGAAAAGGCAGACCATGAGCTACTAAGGATAGGAAATTGTGGAGGACCATGATCGCCCACGTTCTGAAGCGGTACAGCAGATAGAAGAAAAAGAAATATATAAATAAATTTATGTTGCCAATTTTTCAGTCTTTCTTTCATCAATAAAAGCCGTTAATTCAACATTTCCTTTCGAAGCCCCAAAATTCTTGCATGTCTAAGGTTGTTTCAGGCTGTCATCTCTCCTCGTACTGAGTCCATGGAAATGCGATAACTTGTCTAGAATGACCACAGAGACTACTCCTCAAAGTACATTGTTGAATAAGTTTATAGGGCGCATAATAATAAAGAAAGAGGGCCTGGAAAATACGACACTCACAGGGCATATTGAAGGCAAGAGGGACAGAGGAAAACAGCAAATAATCTACCTTAGAGGGGTTAGGAGAGATAGCAAAAAGACTTTATTAAGAGCTACAAAGGACAGGAAATTATGGAAAATCATCATTGTTCACGCCCTGAAGGGACCCAAGACACGGAAGAAGATACAAATCTAATCGTTTACTGTAAATGCATTAACAAAATAAATGGGATATAATTATAATTTAGAATCTGTAGACTTCAATATTTAAAAGTTGAAAAGAAATACATTGAAAATATATATAAACACCGCCAGTATCTTAATTATTTCATGTATAATGCTAAGAGGAAAACTTAAAAAATACACAAAAAGATAGATAGATAGATAGATAGATAGATAGATAGATAGATAAGGAGAGAAAGTGATATATAAGGAGAGACAGTGATAGATAGATAGATAGGTAGATAGATAGATACGGACAGATTGACATAGATAGATAGATAGATAGATAGATAGATAGATAGATAGATAGATATGAACAAAAAAATAAAAACATTTGGATCGCGCCATCCATGGAAATACTCATTGCGTCTTGACTTGTCCAATAAACCAAACTTTCGTTATCGAAACATTTATTAAACTAAAACTACTTTGTAAAATATATTTGAACGATTTAAGATACATACAGATATATACAGACCTAATAGTATTTTTGAAATTTGATAACTGAAAATAACCTGTGATTGTCAAATCAGTTGAAATGTTCACGAAGCCTTCAAATCTTGAATCAACAGATCCAAAGTGAAAAGCGCAAATTATTTTTTAAAAAACTAAAAAAACATTGCTTTATTAACTCCTGAAATGATTTCGTTTAATTCCTTTCATTTTCGCAATTGCTTTGCCTCGTAAATGAAATATATTTCTCAGTGCGGGGAGTTGCTACCGTTCTGTTATCCAAGGGGTTTCTGGTGTATAGTAAACATTTCCGGAAATACCCAGTATATATGTTTCGCTATTATCCAGTGAATAAAAAATAATAATAGACATAAAATAAAAATAATAAATAAATAATGAATAAAAAAAAATTATAATAGACATAAAATTAATTAAATGATATAAACTTCTGTCCTATGGGAAACAAGATAATTTTTTTAAACTTATTTAAGAAAACCTAGTGTCTGCAACGCCGAATATATATATATATATATATATATATATATATATATATATATATATATATATATATATATATATATATATGTGCGTATGTGTTTGTGCGTGTAATTTGGTTTATCTATTATTATCTTGTGCTATCCGGCATTATCTCGAAATTTACTGTTCGAAAACTCATCTTAAAAAAAAGACACTGAGAAATACGTCATGATGGTCAATGGCTACAGCTGTCCGTCCCTTAGCAAATCTTTTTTTTTCAAAAAAAAAACAGCTAATTATTTTCAACATTGTGCAGATTGATTAAATGCTGAAGAGCAGAATTTGAATCTGTTAAGTATCACTGATTATAGATTTGTATCGGCGATCGTTACTGGCCATAACGATGGCTATTAACGATAAAACCGGGTAAAGCTGAATTAAAAATCACTTACTCCTTACTCCTTATCTCTCTCTCTCTCTCTCTCTCTCTCTCTCTCTCTCTCTCTCTATCTCTCTCTATCTCTCTCTGTGTAACATATCCCCTCAGGACTTGAGTAACTATGTCTTCCCATATTTTCCTGTGTTCTGTTAGCCCTTTTCAACTTCCCTATATCATGTCACCCTTTCCGCCATAGATTTACACAGAATTCGTCAAGTGTACTACCCGCTGTTTTTTTTTAATTCACTGTAACCTGTGAGTGCTAAATTCCCCTTTAATTCACTGTAACCTGTGAGTGTTAAATTCCCCATGCCTTCTTTCCTCTTAATATATCCCCACATTTTCCGCTGCCTTTTTCTGATTGTCAGCAGCAGTAAATTTTAAGAATGGAAACTCCAATGAGTTTCCAGTCTTAAAATTTTCTCGTTTCTCGTATACCCGCTCCATGGAATTTCGAATGATAATACATGGATTTTATTTACAATCCGACATTAGTCCATATTACACGAAACGTTATATTGTGGATATATGTGTTTAAGTAGACGTCTTGGGTTTTTTTTGGGGGGGGGAGTTTTTTTTTTACTTTCTTTGTACGATTTATGTTTATTGGCCTGTACATTCGAGAGACTTAATAAAGTCATTTTGCACTCCTGCAGTGTTCTGTCATCCACTTGCTTAAGCCCGCCATGTATGTCACACATTGTTTTCCCTTGTCTCTCTTTCCCTCTATTCGACCTGTGAGTATCAGATTCTCCAGGCCCTCCTTCCTCATTACGTGTCCCAGAAACGTCAGCTGCCTCTTTCTGATGTTAAGCATAAGTTTCTTCCTTGCTTTTCTTTCTTTTTATGTGCCGTGTCCCTTCAGGACGTAGGCGATCACGACTCTCCCCTCCGCCCTATCCTTTGTAGCTCTCAATAAGTTTTCTCACTTTGATACGTCGCCCAGACCACGTTCTGTCATCCACTCGATTAAGCCCACTAGGTATGCCATGCGTTGTTTTCACCTGTCTCTCTTTTCCTCTATTCGACCCGTGAGTATCAGATTCTCCAGGTCCTCTTTCCTCATTATGTGTCCCAGAAACTTCAGCTGTCTCTTCCTGGTGTTAAGTATAAGTCTCCTCCTTGTTTTCAACCTCTCTAAGACCTCATCGTTACCTCACACTCTCGGCCCATGATATCCTTAGCATCCTTCTGTAGAACCACATCTCTGTCGCCTATAGTCTCTTCTTCATCTTTCAGGAAATCGTCTAATATTCGCTGCCGTAAAGAAGGACAGATGTCACGTAACAGTTCAGTATTCTTTTGTTTGTTACCAAAGAAATCCTCCTGTTTCGCAATACTCTGCCCAGCTTTTGGAATGCGTCCTTCGCCATCCCAATATGTCTACGGATCTCAGTGTCGCACTTACCGTCCTCTGTCAAGACCCTTCCCAGATATTTAAACTTCCGAGTCTGCTTGATCTTAGTATCCCCGACCTTCAAATTTCGGGCTCATCCTTTTACTGGTGACCATGCATTCTGTTTTCTTGTAATTTATGCTTAGTCCTTTCTTCTCACTCTCCGTCGCAGGAGATTTTGTAATTTAGTTTCTATGTCTGCTATCAACACTGTGTTATCTGCGTATCTTATGTTGTTAAGATTGTGGCCGCCATGTTAAAACTGACACACCGACTTCATTCTTACGTCCCTGTACGTAACTATAATCTATTTAATAATGCGACAAGTTGGTTCGTTATAAGGCGTAAAATTGGAATCTATGAATATGTATATATGAATTTTTTATTTAGTCTTTCCAAATCTCTTACATTTACATTTGGTGCCAGTAATGGGGCGGCAAAAATTGATGTTATGGTCCTTTATCCTAATCACTTCTTTAGCCATTTTAATGGGGATTTCATTATGGCCGAAAACGCATGGGACAATGGACAATACGGACAATTTTAGCACTTCCTTACTCACGCCAAGCGGAAAAAGTAAGAGGAGATAGATAGATAGATAGATAGATAGATAGATATTATACAAAAAAAATAACTTTTAAATATCACTTTTTTTTGCTGTTTTCCCCGACTTCGAAGATTCTTGGTAAATGTCCGTTCTTCAGGGGAGTTCTGGTTTTAAATGATATTTCCAAATTGAAAAAGTTGGGAATATCATTTAAAGCCAGTATCCCTGAAAAACGGATATTTACCAAGAAAATTCGAAGTCGGGGAAAATAACAAAAAAAAAAAAAATATTTAAAACTTAATTAATCTTTTTATATAATATTATTAATGATCTGTTTTTTATATTATTTTAATATTTTTAATATTGAGCGCTATATATAAAAATGTCTATTGTTTCTTTAATCTTTATATATATATATATATATATATATATATATATATATAAAAAATAAAAAAACACTAATATATAATTTATTCCATTGGAATCGTAAATACGATCCAATTAATCAGACCTACAAATTCAAAATGATATATATATATATATATATATATATATATATATATATATATATATATATATATATATAAAAAAAGGCTTAAACACTAATATTCCATGGTCATAATTTATTCCATTGGAATCGTAAATACGATCCAATTCATCAGACCTACAAATTCAAAAAAAGAAAACAGAAAAACAACTCCGGAAATAAAAATAAAATTTAGAGAGAGTGTAAGTATGAGAGTGTGGGACGAATGTTAGAGCTAAAGAGAGGGGTAACAGGCGAGAGAAGGTGGGAGATTAAAATTTAACAGAGAGAAGTTTTAGAGAGGTTAGATGAAGACGGTTGAAGTGAGAGAAATATGAGTGTTGTCGGATGTCTAATACATTAATGATGTAACCGGAAAGGATACATTTTGTGGTGACATACAATCTTAAAGATCAGAAGAAGAGGGAGGAGAGGAAAAGAAAAGAAAAAGGGGTGGTGGAGAGAGATGGGGCGGGGGAAACTAAAACTGAAGTACATTTTACTGAAAGGGTCGCTGTGTAATTAAGAAAATTTGACAAAATTAATATCGACTACAGGTTACAAATCAAATATAAACATATAAAAAATAAATATAACGATTATCTAATCTAGCAAGGACCTATATTTTTATGTTCAAAAACACATGCGTATACACACATACACAATAACATATACACGTACATACATACATATAAGCGTGTACTCACATACACACATATATATACCCATGTACACATACACACACACACACATATATATACATACAGATATACATATATATACACATTCTCATATACATATACATACATACACATACACATACACATACATGTATACATATACATACATAAATACACACACACATACATACGTATACACATACATCCATACACATCCACTCCTACATATATGTACACATTTACACACATATATACATACGGATATACACATACGTGCATATATATATATATATATATATATATATATATATATATATATATATATATATATATATTATGTATGTATGTATTTAAGCCAGCTAGGGAGGAGTAAATGCGATAAGCGTCAATAAACTACAGAAGAACTCAAAATTGATCGTTGAATTTATTCATTAAATTAATGTTTAAGTTTACCTTTTAAAAGTTCAACAAAATTTCTTTTGCTGCCACTTAATTTAAAGATGATTTGATGTATGTAGGTCCTTATTTTCTATACAAACAATTATTTTTATTTCATGGGTGACAGAACAGGGGACAATTTATAAGGTAAAATTACTATAGTGTAAAGATGGGAAAATAGAAATTAGAATTAGTTATCCATTCAACATTTGAAGAGTTAGATAAAACAAAACAGCGTATTAAGTAAAAGCTACATTATGTAATCTATATGAATAAATGCGAAATTGGAGTGCAATTTGAAAAAACTTTCCTTAACTATAACAATCCAATTTATGAATAAAATATTCATTTACAATTTTTGTTTCAAAGTTTTCAAGTAGTATCAAGTAGAATATATCTTACTTTGAGAAGCGCTAGCGAGCGGGTGAAGCCTACTAGTAATGGAATATAAATTTACGACCTATTTGTGTACGGTTTATACTTGTAAAATTCCTACAATCTATTTTTAAGTAAAATGTTTATTACAATTTATCTTTATGTAGGTTTTATGATTAATATTTACATCAAATTGTTAATCCAAAAGACAAACTTTAAAGCCGTCCTGGGTTTGACGATAAACTATATCCGCGTCCTGGTTAAGACGTTAAACTACATCCGCGTCCTGGTTAAGACGATAAACTACATCCGCGTCCTGGGTAAGACAATAAACTACATCCGCGTCCTGGGGAAGACAATAAACTGCATCCGCGTCCTGGTTAAGACGATAAACTACATCCGCGTCCTGGGTAAGACGATAAACTACATCCGCGTCCTGGGGAAGACAATAAACTGCATCCGCGTCCTGATTAAGACAATGAACTACATCCGCGTCCTGGTTAAGACGATAAACTACATCCGCGTCCTGGGTAAGACGATAAACTGCATCCGCGTCCTGGTTAAGACGATAAACTACATCCGCGTCCTGAGTAAGACAATAAACTGCATCCGCGTCCTGGGTAAGACGATAAACTACATCCGCGTCCTGGGGAAGACAATAAACTACATCCGCGTCCTGGGTAAGACGATAAACTGCATCCGCGTCCTGGGCAAGACGATAAACTACATCCAAAAGCAAGGCCTTTGATCAGAAGGTTTTGAGGAGTGTGGAACCACCTCTTAATTGCTGGTGTTCTCAGGTCCCCCCTGAGCCGGGGTGGTAGCAATGGGCAAATAGTTAACGCCAGAACTGGCGTCAAAACACTATGAAAGTGTAAAAATAGGTTTTCGTACCAGTAATACATTTTTATAAAAATTTTACCAGCAATGAATTTTTGAAGGAAAAAATATTGCCAGCAATTCATTTTGGGAAAAAATAGTACTAGCAATATATTTTTGAAAAAAAATTTTTACCAGCAATGAATTTTTGAAAAAAAAATTACTAGCAATAAAAATCTTGTCGGCATTAAATACTCCATTGAGGTTGAGATGCCATAAAACAAAACAAACCAAACCAATATATACTGAGATAGATAGATAGATAGATAGATAGATAGATAGATAGATAGATAGATAGATAAAAAAAAATATTAGCAGCAATAAAAATCTTGTCAGCATTAAATAATCCAGTGAGGTTAATATGCCGTAAAACAAAACAAACCAAACCAATATATACTGAGATATAGATAGATAGATAGATAGATAGATAGATAGATAGATAGATAGATCTAAAATATTAGCAGCAATAAAAATCTTGTCGGTATTAAATAATCCATTGAGGTTGATATGCCGTAAAATAAACAAACCAGACTAATATATACTGAGATAGATAGATAGATAGATAGATAGATAGATAGATCTAAAATATTAGCAGCAATAAAAATCTTGTCGGTATTAAATAACCCAGTGAGGTTGATATGCCGTAAAACAAACCAAACCAAACAATAAAATTTAAAGAACTTTTTCAAAATCCTGTTTCATTTTACATATTTCAATTTTGATTTAAAATACATTTTTGACAGTTTAAAGATTTTATTTTAAAAAAAAATTACATTTCGACATTAAATGACATAATGGATTTATATACCGTAAAACAAACTAAACCAAACAAAACAAAACCTTTCGAAAAAAGAAAATCAGAATCAAGATCGTGGCGATTTTACGGGGCATAGAAACATAGTAATTGTTTGCGCTTACCTACCAATCTAGACCAATCAAAACAATTCTTACATCAGTAAAAGAACGTAACTATTGACCACAGGTTCGTCTTGACTTTTTGCATGGGAAAAAGTTGTCGTGCATTGCGAGTTGTAATGTGAGTTTTTGACCCTTTGGATTTACGTCCCCACCCCCGACATTTTCTGACTTTAGACTTACAAGATTGATTTGCGAGCCTTGAAATTACAGTGCTTCAACATGATATGACCGTAAACTCCTTATACTACCCTCACATCCATCCTTACGACAACAGGTATGCCCAAGCGGTCACCCATCTAGATACTGACCAGTCTCAACATTGCTTAACGTCATTGCTGGTGTTTGAACATGATATGATCGTAAGACATACCACCAAAACATCCAAGCTTACAGCACCTGCTATTCCCAAACTGGCCAGGCTCGACGTTGCTTTACTTCCGGGATCGTACGAGAACCGGTATTATAACATGCACTGGCCGTAAAACCATTAAACCACACTCATGTCCAAGCTTACAGCACCTGGTATTCAGGGACAGTCACCCATCTAGATACTGACCAGGCTCGACATTGCTTAACGCAGTGATTGTACGAGAACTGGTGTTTTAACATAATATGGTCGTAAGGTATACTACCAGAACATCCAAGATTACAGCACTTGTTATCTCCTGCGGTCACTCTTCTAGTTACTGACCAGGCTCGACATTGCTTAACGCCAGTGATTGTACGAGAATTGGTGTTTCAACGTAATATGGCCATAAGTGAAAGAAGGGACTTGTGCGTTGCGAGTTGAGATGTTAATTTTTTAACCTTTGGATTCACACATATTCTGACGCTGGATATTTAAGACTGATGTTTGATCCTTATGATTGCCACCTCGGACTTATGATTTCTTGGATTTGAACCGCCCTATTGCTATTTTGCTCAAGATGTTTGACCAATGTATTTTTGCGACATTTTTATGTCATTTAATATGTTAGCTATGTCACTGATATTGAGCACTTTCCAATAAGTACCATGAATCTATAATATACATAGAAATTATACACACACACACACACACACACACACACTTATATATATATATATATATATATATATATATATATATATATATATAATTTTAAAGAAAATTGCTTGCTGGCAAAAAGTACTCGCTCCCATAAGAAATGACAGAGCTTTAATATATTAACCCTTTGGGCCCTGCATTCCTGAACAATTTTAACCCTTCTTTCTAAGCTCCTGAGTCAAAATTCGCAAATAATTAGTATGCAATGTTTCACGGTAGATATAAAAATAGTCCTATCGTTCCACCGGTGGCTGGGCATTAAGTCATATATATATATAAATATATGTATAATAATCGACGTATGAGGGTCAAGCAGATCAGCTCCCAGGAAACCGACAGCCCGAAAACAGCACATGAGATTTTATTATATTGGTGAAGGTTTCGTGCAGGACCATCCACACTTTTTGAAAGGTCGAATACAGAGACCTGGTGCACCGAATGCCACAAGGTACCCAAATGACCCTCCGCAGGTTTTGAATTAAGAGTTGTCCTTCTCCTAGACCAGTTGCCATCCAAGGCTATAGAACCCAGTCTGTCCTGCTATTTTACCCATAGCTGGAGGGAAAGGAAGAGGATTCATACCTTTCCCAAGGGTATTAGCACGTAAGAGAATGTAATGGATTCGACTGGAATTCGAACTCGGCTCTGATTCCTCAATCCAAGCCGCTATATATATATATATATATATATATATATATATATATATATATATATATATATATATATATATATATATATATATAGACTCGAAATGTTGCTTCGTGCCAAATTTTCTTGATTAAATAAATTTGCCACTTGTACATTAAAGCCTTGTTTTGTAAATTTGATTACATAATAATTCTGAGTTCAATTCCGACCCCCGCCGTACAGTACAGTGAAAAAGAGAAAAGCCTGCCTATTCCACATCGATCCCACATGCTGGTTCACAAACTCAGAAAAACGTCTTCCATGTTCTGTGTCTCATCTGGACTCGGGTGATCATGAATGTTTACAACTTCTTATCATTTGTAGCTCTTATTAAGTTTTGCCTGTTCACTTCTCCTCCTCTGTTCTGTTAAACATTCACACAAGCTAGTTAGGTATGTCATTCGCTGCTCTCCTCTGTCTCCACTGCTTTATATATGCCCTGTGAGTGTCAAATTTTCTAGGCCCTCTTTCCTTATTATATGCCCTAGAAATTTCAGGGAAGTTGACTAAGTTATGAGTCCCCAACACACACACACACATATATATATATATATATAGATATAGATATAGATATAGATATATATATATATGTGTGTGTGTGTGTGTGTGTGTGTGTGTTCGAGGATTTACCAAATTACAAAATTCATATTAAAAAAATTCTCTTTGAATTTTAGCGTTGCGACTTGCACGTTCCAATATTATACAACTGTTAATAAATAACACATTCTTAAAAAAAAACATCTTTTGGTCAGCAACACATTTATTTCGTCTTCGAGTTTTGACTTTAAAGGAAAAAATTTCAGCGTGACGATGAGGACAGGAAGTTTTTGAAAGTACTTGATCCATCTGACAACAATTTTATACATTATGATCGCATCATTCAGTGGATTTTTAGTAGGTTAATACTTATAGTAAATCTGATAGCGAAGAGAATTCGCCATTAATTGCATTAATATTGCTAATTGATTCAATGTATGATTACCTTTTTATAATATATATATATATATATATATATATATATATATATATATATATAGTACAGTACGTGTAGTACAGTGAAAAAGGAAAAGCAAATCATGAGCAGTCCTAAATAGGAACAAAACGAGATGTCCCTAGACATAGACAGTAGATCCAGAACAAACTGCTTCGATATAATTTAAAGCGTTCAGTTCGAGATTCTCTTTAGATTACCCGAAGGCAGAGACACCTGAAGAAGCCCGGAGATCGCAACGGCTGAAATGCTGCGGCATTTACAACAGCGATGAAGACTTCTTTTTTTCATGGTTTTCGATAGCAACTGATATGCCCATATCAAAGTACAGGTTTCGAATCTTTGTCACGTCAATATGATTATTTGAGTGTATGCGATCGACAATAACTTCGTCGTATTCTCTTGCCTGTCATTTTATATTGAAAATTCTTTTCTTTTTTTTTTTTTTTTTTTTTTGTCTTACACTTCAACGCGATTTTTAAATTCGGGCGGGTCCTAAGATATGTCTCAACGATTTACAGATTGTATTTAATGTAAATTGGTACCTTTGAAGACAATTTATTCCCTTCCCACTTGTGATTTCGTTATATGTCTCTATGGTTTAACTTTAACCTCCTCTTGGCTATTCGACATTTTTTTTGTCCACACTTGTATCAAGGAATCCATAATGTCGTTTAAACGGCGCGGGCAAATATTAATACGCATATTTGATCATTTCTTCATTCATTCGTTTATATGAGTATTTTAATTATAATAACCGATCTATTTACATCGTGTAGCCGAATCTCTTGTCTCCAGATCAGTTGAGAGCGTGCGATATGCAAATATATGCTAATTACAAAGTAAACAAGATAAGGACATACAAGAGAGAGAGAGAGAGAAAAGAGAAATCTATCGCAGATGAATGATACCACGCCACAAAACTTAATCGTGTACAATAATAGTCAAAACCACAAAGAAAACGAACGCTGAATCAAAAAGATAAAAGAAAGAGAGTAAAGACTAAGAGAGAGAAGAAATATAAAAGAATTGTCAATCCCCATGAGGGGAAGCTTATGATCAATAGAAACAGTAGATTAAAAAACAAAAAAAAAGAGAGAGAGAGATGCACACATCATTGGAGATCGTTTCGCTGGTGTCGCCATATTGAAAGACTAGAAAAGATCGCCGTCGACAGAATTCCTTGCTTCGTTGTCCGCGCGCTTGACCTCTGACCCAACACGTTTCAACCAATCAATTTTTTTGTGTGGGCCGAGTTAACTCCCTCGCTAATGGTGTGTCCGACTTTTAAAACATGTCTTTCTTGACCCAGGAAATTTCTCCCCGGAGCTTTTTCGTCAATCGACACACGACAGCCGACAAAGACAAGCAAATAGGATGTAAAAGATCTGAGTATAGTGGAAATAATCGAACGGTTCTTTTTTCTTCTTTTTTTTCTCTTTCATTTGTAAATTTTCCCGCCTTCTTATGCCACACTCTCGTCTGCTTTCCGCCATTTAACGATGTCTTCATCTTACTCTATCTACCCTCGTTCCCCTCATTCCAACCTGATAACAATCATGGACTTTTTGTTAATTTAATTTTTAACGTCTCCTTTTCTATTTTTTTTATCATATTTCAGCTGTAATGTCGTAAACAGAACAGTACAGCAAGCATGCTTCGGCTTGTTATATCTATCGAATTTAGGGCGTCGACTGTAGCACGATTGTCATCAGGAAAGTTTCGCGGACCTATCCGCTAGTAAAGTGGTTCGATACTGGTCAGTTCATCTACTACTTTGTCCTTCCTGGACCTATCAGATAGTTTAGTAGCCTTCCTATTCCAAATCGATCCCACATGCTGGTTCACAAACTCAGAAAAACGTCTTCCATGTTCTGTGTCTCATCTGGACTCGGGTGATCATGAATGTTTACAACTTCTTATCATTTGCAGCTCTTATTAAGTTTTGCCTGTTCACTTCTCCCCCTCTGTTCTGTTAATCATTCACACAAGCTAGTTAGGTATGTCATTCGCTGCTCTCCTCTGTCTCCACTGCTTTATATATGCCCTGTGAGTGTCAAATTTTCTAGGCCCTCTTTCCTTATTGGATGCCCTAGAAATCTCAATTGTCACTTTCTGATTTTAAACATAAACGTCATTATTGTTTATAGTTTCCTTAAATCTTTTTCGTTACTCATGTTCAGTCCATCGGATTCTCAGCATCCTTCTCATTTGCCTCATGTCTGTGAGGAGATTGTCCGACCTTCAGTGCCATATAGGTGGATTGATAATAAATAATAGTTCAGTACTCTTTTCTTTGTAATGAACTTTACTTTTTTTTCGTAATACTTTTCTTGGTGTTTGAAAGGCATCTTTTCTTATTCCAATGCGTTTTCGAATTCCGGTGAAACATTTTCAGTGATCTGTTAAAACATTTCCCAGGCCGTCCTGGGTATGACGATAAACTACGTCCGACAGCAAGGCCTCTGATCAGGAGGTTTTGAGGAGCTAGGAACCACGTCTTAATTGCTTGTGTTCCAAGGTCCACCCTGACCCGGGGTGGTAGCACCTGTTAGGGTCCCAGCTATGGACAAATAGTTAACCCCGAAACTGAGGTAAAAAGCATTATGAAAGTGTAAAAATAAGTTTTAATACCAGAAATACTTTATAAAAAATTATTACCAGAAATAAATTTTTGAAGAAAAAAACTGTTACCAGCAATATATATTTTGAATGTAAAAAAGAATTCACTTATCACCATATTTGTATAAGAACGCACAATTGTAAAATTTAAATTCAAACTCAGCGTTGCGACAACACGGTCCAAAAACAATAACTCATTTCTAATAGCATTTTTCGGATTACAACAGTACATATATTTTCGTTGTCCTCTTATTACTGAGAGAAAAAACAAGAACAAAATCTATTCCATACCTGAGGATGTCTGTAGGAACAGACGAAAGCTTGTAAAAATAATAAGAACTCATGCAACAGAAATTTATAGAAACAAGGATCTTTTCATTCATAAACAGGTTCGGGGTTTTTGTATATTATTTGAATTGTTCGCGACAATGGATTTCTCGCCAATTAAATCATTAACCTTTGTATTTGTTTTTTTTATGAATAATTCATGAATTTGTAAATTAATTGCACCTTTATTGAAATATATATGTATATGTATATATATATATATATATATATATATATATATATATATATGCTTATACGTTATTTTTATACATACAATTTATTTAAGCAAATGCTCTGCTTTTAACTAAACAATATTAATTACATTTACCTGAATGTTCGAGAAATTTCGTAGAAAATATGCGTTCTTCGACAGAGCATTCACTTAAATAAGGATACATGGCACAGTGGATAAAGGCGTTAGTTAAATCCAGTGAGAGGACCCAAAGAGTGTGAGTTCAATACCTGGTTAAAGTGGTGGAGAACTTGGAGAGGGGAATTAACAAGAGATAACTGATAACTGACATCCATTAGACATGGCACGTGGAACTAGAGCAGTCTCCCCCAGTGAGCGAAATAAAGGGTTCAGTTCTACATTCCAACCACCTGAAGAAGGCCGGAGCGTACAACGACCGAAACGTTGTAATAAATATGGCGATGAAGATGAGGACATAGTCCGAATAATGTAAATAGTGTACATAATACCTCATCTCAGAAATATAGACTGAAACAGAAACTATATTAAATAATTTCATAATAAATGTGTGTAGCTGGCCCCTCGTATTCGAGAATACCCGTCTACTAAGGCGGCTAACCAATCCCTATTGCGGACCCTTGCTCAGGCACATTTGCGTTTGTTCAACGCCCACAGAGCACACCGGTGGTTTATACTGCAACTATGCTGAGCAGACCTTAGTGACAATTTCTGGGGAAGAGCGCGTTATCTAGCGTGATCAACAATTTGAAGGCCAGCACGCTGAAACACTCGGCCACGATGACTTGTGGCTTCGTGCTAGCACGTAAGCGAATGTAACGAACTCGACTGGAATTCAAACTCGGCTACCCCGATTGTGAGTCCTTATACATTACTCCATCCAAAAAGTCATTGGATGAAATCATGTTGTAGGAAAAACCATTTTAGGCAAAAACTGTTGTAACCTAGAAAGGGTTACTGAATGAGAAATAACCAAAATGGAGGTTGGAAATGAAATGGTAATCTTTATAACAACAACAAAATACAATACTCGCCAGCGGCGTGAAGTAGGTAAACCACTGCTAGAGG